CGGGGGTTGGTTCGTCTCTCTCTCTCGTTGCTGCGAAGAAAAAAGTGAATTATGCACCGTGTAATGTGTTGCTGTTTGTTGAGATTATAGCACTTTTTTGCGATTGCAGTTTGCCGTAGTTTTCCGGAAGATTCTTTTGTGTTATAGAAATAGCACGTAACAATACAAAATAATGTTGTGATATTTTAACTGTCTGAAACGGCAGCGAGAATGGGTTGGTACAATGCTTAGGTGCACTTTGGATGACAGTGCAAAAATAGGTTCATATTTATCTACGTGTTTGGCTGCTGATCGAATATGAAGTGAAATGCCGGTACTGCTTGAGAAAATTGGTAGCTAAACAAGCTGAATTAGAACAGAAGTGTTAGTGTTTTTTTATTAATACAGATTTTTTGGCTGGAATTTGACAATACTTTGCTTTTTTGGCGTTGATTAAGTCGGTCAAGAATATGTCTGAAAATTGAAGCGCCTGTAAGCGCCTGACTGCTCTATTATTTTTGCTTATTTTCTTTTACAATTCTTTTTTGTACCTTCTTTTATTCTAAAAATGTTACTAATAATTTACAAATAAATAAGTAAATAAAAGCAGTCAAAATTATTGCACATAATTATTAGTGTTGTTGATCTATAAATTATCATTGAAAACATTTTAGTTGTTTTTATTTGTTTTCTTTTTGAGCACATGATGATAATTGTTTTTAAAAAAATTGTTTTTTAAACTTGGCAAGGTTGGAAATGTAGCAAAAAAAAAAAAAAAGACTGATGTTGATATTAAATTTTCTAGATTCAACGATTTAATTCTTTGGTAGTTGAGGATTTTAAAATATTCAACCTTTATTTGGTAATCGTACTGTCGGACGCTTTTTGTCAATAGATGATTGTAATATTACAATTATTAGACAGTAACCGAAATGATAGCATTTGAGAGACGATGCCTACTTTTTTACCGCTGCATAGACGGAGGTGGAATTATAATTCAACTATTCGCACTTGCTTGTTGCAATAAAAATTACTGTTGACAGAACAAAAAAATAGGTTCATATTTATCTAATAGTTGAAATAATTGAAGGCCCGATATTTTTTTTTTCTTTTTTTTTGACTGAAAATTAAATCATTTGTTCGAGAAATAAAGGAGAAGAAAAATGACTTGTCACAGTTTGTGTTCAGTGAAAATGTGATTTTTTTTTCCGCTTCTCACTCACTCTCGTTTCATCAGTGTTTACTGTACAGACAAGTGGAAAAAACGTTTCTTTGATATACCTGTTGGTGGATTGCTGCGTCAGTGTCTTCGTGGGAGAGAGGTCGAGGATTCTGATATGTTTCCCTTGGTTTAGTATGGTTGTCGTTCTGTTTCAGAGAGCAACCAAAGTAGAGCTAGCAAAACTGTTCTGATGATAATTGCCCCGCTGGGTCACTTGGAGCCGGGTTATTTATGGGGGTGGTTCCTAGGCCTTTTACGCCACCCCATTCTTCTGTGCGGCTAAATGGCGACAAAAAAGTATGCGGCAGTGCGGTATTCAACACCGCTAAAGCCAATAAGTGTCAAGAATTTTTGCACACAACACTTTTTTCCACCTCAACCTATTTTTTACACTTCAGAAATAACTTGATTTTCTTTTTGAATGGCTAAAAAATTCGATACATTTTTTGTGTATGACGAAGCAAAAGAAATTTTTTTTTTTGTTTGACAAACGTTTTTTTCTGGATCGTTTATTTTTTTCACTGTGAACTAGTTGATCAGTATCAAGAATTCCTCCGTAAGAAAGTTTCGAGAAGAAAGTGCATTTATTTATTTCATTGCGGAAAAAAGTCTAGATTTATTTAAACTGTTCGACCTTGCAATTCTAAATTTTGCTTCGTGGAAGGGATTAAGGAGATAGAGGGTAGAAGAGGTTGGACGCGGGAACTATGACTGTAAAGCGAGACCGACCAGTTATTAAATCAGTAGATATTCGATGGATAGTAATTTTTAATCTTAGATTTCTTCGTTTTATATTCATTTTATATTCATAGAAAACTGTTAATTTGCATCGGAATTTATCTCTCAGGATATTTCGTCAAATTTGGGTACTTATATTGTTCTCATATTTGCTAACAGTTCTTAACAACGTTTACCTCCTTGAACACAGACAGTACAAACATTGTTAGTGAAAAAAAAAAAAGCTTTACGATGAACGACTGGTGTACTTCAGTGGTTTCACAGTTACGTCAGATGAAAGGTTATTCAATCAAAATGTTATATTACTGGACATACAGGCATTTATTATGCATGCATAGACTTAATCAAACAGAAATATGGTGATATTATTTTGGAAGTGTTAAAAGATGAAACGTTTTTTTTTTTTTCAATTTGATGCCTTCCTTAAAAAATTTTCTCTCTCTTGTTTGTATTTTTTTTTCGAGAGGATTTGTAATGTACAGGTCATCTCTGGGATTGCTCGTTGCGATCGCAGTTATTGCTCTGAGAGTAATGTTGCCTAACACATCGCTATTATCATTCTTTTTAAAGACAAACAGTAACATTCCACACTTCTAATTAATACCTGCAATTACTTTTTCTCTCACGCACTCAAAATTTATTTTATAAACTCGACTGCTTTTTAGCGTTAAATAGAGGCAGCAATTTAGTCAGCAAATTGTGTGAGGCATAACCTTTTCAATGTCTAATAATTTCTAACGCTCTCAACTGATAGTTTTTTTCTTCATGGCATAGTATTGGCACTAATTGTTCGAGAGAAAGTTTTAAGCCCTAGCCATTAGTCTTGTGAAATTCTGGTTAACAAGCAAGTTTTGAAAACAAGCAAGCTTGTAGTGATAATGGTTGTGATGATGATGGATAAAGACACTGATTTATTTCCGATAGTTAAATGCAGCAGCATCTTAATTCTTAACTTCTTTTCTTTTCAATTTGTATTATTATTGTTATTTTTTTTTATTTTTTTTTTAGAACTAAAAAAAGTTTTTCCAGAAAACCCGAATGCAATAGGCTATAGTTCACGGGAATTATCTGCATTTAGATTGTTCTTTTTGGCATTTTTCAATTACTTTTCAACAGCAACACTTAGTTCAAAGACGTGCTGTTGTTTGTTGAGCAAATGTTCTGGTTCTGGATCCTGAATTCTTTGCACATATATTTTGCTTACCAGTTGCATTCTGTTATAACCTCATTCTTCTTGTACTTTTTAAGATTTTGAATTTTTATAATACACTAGTCAGTAACAAAAAGATGCAAGCAATTTTTTTTTCAATTTCATTAGCTTCTTTTATTCGATTACTTGTTATTACCACTTGTTTAGTGTTTTTTAAAACTACAAGATGGAAAGAAAGTAAGAAAGTTTCGTGTAAAACTATGTGTCCGTTTAAACAATGAGAATTAATTTATTAAAAAAAAGAATGAGTATGGCTCAGTGGATAATGAAATGTAATTGATAATTAAACAGCTTTTTGCCACTTTCATTAAGGCGTTTGAATTTCAGAGTTGGCTACAACAAAGAATGGGAAAATTCTTCTTCAGTGTTTAATATCACTTCAAATCGCTGTTTAAAAAACTTCTGGTGAATATGAAAGTATGCGCTTACACAAAATAAGATACCTGAGATAAGTACAAGTCAATCCAGTAAGTAAAAAAATTATCAAAAAATCATCTCTGTCAGAATGAAACCAGTCATATATGACCGCCATCAATGGAATCTGAGATTTCTGTGACTAGTCTCCAATGGTACCATCATTGGAAGCATGCGACATAGCGGCATTATCAGAATGACTAATGTTGGCGTTTTTTTATCGCTGCTAGGTCTATCTTCAGAAGTGTATCGCTCCTAATTTTAAAAACTTGGAAATATAACAGTAGTTCTGTTGGACGTTTAGAAAAGCAAATTTTGTAGCGAGCATACCAAAAACATGGGTGTAAACAATGAGAAACAATTTCTGTTCTTGACCATGTCGAAGTTACAAGCGTTTGTTCTGACGACTCCGTGTTGTCTAACCAATGCATTAAATTCTGTCCACAGAATAAACGTATCTTTTTTTGACAGCAACGGTTCCGTAAAAAAAATGCATTATTCTTACACGAAAAACTGGCATCAAGTGCCGATTCGTTGAAAGCAAACGTTCGTGAATTCGGCAGCGACTAAAGGAGTCGCTTCATTGCGGATTGCTAATTTCCAACTCGTCTTTCTATGTATTCCTTATGTGGACTGGAAAGGATTTTGTTTAACTTAGGTGAGAGCTAAATTTTCGCGACCGCTCGCGAAAGGCACTGTAGGGTCATTAAAGGTCACTGTAGCTCCCTGACGGGAAGCTCCCGGACATGCATAAACAGCTTAGACAACATAACAGTAATTTTATAAACAACTTCAATTCCACGATGTTTGCTTTAACTCTTAACCTAAAATCTTTTAATTTATTTATCTTTCGTTTTTTTTTTTACTGAAAAAAATTTTTAAAAGTTGTGGCCACTCTGCCTCGGCTATTAATATTTGGACATAAACTAGCGCTTGAGAGGAATTCAGCACTTTATTCCTGCATCATCCCCCGCCACTAAGGAGGACTTAACAAGTCAAGTTGGAACATTTTTGCGCTATCACAACACTCACAAAACATTAGAATCTCATCCCTATAACAATTGGACATGGCAATTACGGGTATTCTCTGATTTCAGAACTGCTTAATGGATCGCCTTATTTTGATTGTGGGCAATATTAAAGCCTGAATTTGGAGAAGACCAAAACTTGGTAATTCAATTGATTTCTTCTTCAAACTTATTACACTCCTTGGTTGGATGCTCCAGTGAACTGAGGCATGCAGTTAAACGATTAATACACTCATCTCCCGTGAAAGCAATCACATTGTCGACAAGTGTCAATTACAAATGGACTGAAGAATATATCGGATTGAGGATTGCTCAATTAGCAACAGGAGCACATTATAAACTTTGTTGTCTACTCCCACTCGTTGATTCTCCATGTGATATTTTGTGTGGTGGAGATGGATCAGGCGGAATGGGAGCAGCTCTACTTCGTTTTTATCCTGCTTCAAAGCTAATATTCAATAGTTTGATGGCTCAAACAAACAATTCATTCCTAAGAGTGCATCTTGGCCCACCGTCCGCAGTTTCATACATGAATGAAAACGTCAAAATTAGGAAGCGAAACCTGACCGCCAATTCCGGAATCAACCGAATTCCCGAAATGCATACTCGTTTTTTGGAGAATTGGATGTCGATTGGAGAAGAGTACGAGCGAGTGCTGGATTTCACCAGTGGTGTGAGAAACTGTTTGCTCGGCCGTGGCCGACACCAAAGTACTCGCTATTCAAGGAGTGGATCACCCAGCATGGATCCATTATTTTGAATGTAACTAATTTGTATGTCTGGAATACTGTGCCGCCCAGTATGTATAGAAGAGGACAAATTCTTCAAAAACTTAATAGAAGACGTCATCAAAGACTCAGAGCAATGAACCAAGTAGGTCAAGACAGTTTCCTGAAATGCTGCCCAGATATCCAATCATGTACATTCTTAAAAGATGGTGTTCAGATTGCATCTGGAACGTATCCTCATTTGGGGCCGTACTATGTTACACCCGGTTATGTATTCATTTCCGGAATTAAGGAGGAACGTCTGTTTTTGCAAATTATGATTTTGATGATTAAGGACACAATGGTAGCTTGGCTCTGCAGTGAAATATCGTTTATAGGCTTGATTGATAGGGCAGACGACTTTGTGAATGCAGCACTTATAAAGCTGAAAAACTTATAATCGAGATTTATTACGTTGGCACAGCAACCACGCTCATTAATTCCAATTTCTTCTGCCTTCGGCGTCCACATCAGACAAGTGACCAGAGAATTCGAAGCCACACACCGGTGCGTACAGACACGGGAGACATTCGTTCTTAGATTATTTTGAAGGTCTAGAGCAGCTACGTGAGCGTATTACTAAAATCAGTAAGATAGATGAAGAATACGCGAACTCATTGAATTATTGCCGTCCGATCATCTCCTGCGATATTACGTCATAAACAATGTTTGGCCGAAACAGGCTGTCGTAACCTAGTTCGGAAATCACTGGCATGAATTACCTTTAAAACCTTGCTTTGAAATACCAGATGGAATCGATCCATCGATTTTATATTCAGATAAAAGTCATTCTATGGATCGAAATGATGTAATCCAATTCTTGTCTGATAAACCAGGACATTAATGATAACTCGTTAACTAATAATAATTGGACTAAAAAATGATGTCACTTCTGTGACTAAGAAGCTTTTGGATCGAACTGTTGGACAGGGAAATATTGGTTACGATGGGATTACTTTTGCAAACCACTCCGATTATCACAAGAGGAATAATGCGCAGCGCGGGATAGCCAATAATCCTGTATTCAAAGTGAAGGGGCAGTTCGTGGGAATGTTGTTATTATTTGTACGCACACATGAGTTTCTTGAAAGAAGTGTAATTTATTATAACGATCGAGCAGACTTGATTGGATTCAAAGACGGACAGTTTGTCAATTTATCCCCACGTCTTATGGTTTGGGAGGGTCAACTTGGTGGTGGATTCGAAGGTCTTCGTCAAAAGGGTTGGAGCATCGTAAACCGGTCAGTTATAGAACGAGAGATATACGATGAAGAAAATCTGATAATGGAGATTAAAAATGTAGCCAATTACAACTCCGCCATAGTGAAAGCAATCGTGGAAGGTATTACGAAACTAGGAGGAAACTTCCTTTGCTTTGCAAACAAACGCTGGTCTAGAGTAAGTTGTATCATTAACGACCAAATTTTATCAATCCGAAATATTCTACCGACAGTTTTTACTACGGCACTAACAGTTGCGATGTATTCTGACGAATTTACACAAGCCATATTGGATTATGGGTTCTTTAGATCATTTTGTTTTTATATTTTATTCTTGTACAATTCAATCATAGGAGATCGGATGTTTCAAAATGTTGAGACTCCAGCAGATTTGGAGAGAATGATTGTGAAATTGCTGTTTTTAGATCCCTCTTTGAGCGGAATCAACGGAATGAATTTGAACAGCGGGTTATCCTCATACATGTAGTTATCCTCGGGAATCAGTTTCCCAACTACTGGAAAATCTAGCTGGACTGAATCTGCCTACAATACTAGACCTCTCCTTATTACTTCGTGATGTGGTCAAGAAGCAGCTCGTATGTAACGTTGAGGACATCAAGAATCTAACTTTCAAAATTCTCGAACATTGAGAACAGTCTTTCAACGAAGGTTTTCTGAAAAAAATCGCTGAATTGTTAATTAAAAGAGAAAATCTACCAATTGAGCACATTTATAAGTTGAAGCTTTTAAGTAGCTGCACAATATGGGATTTCTCTGCGACTAGATCAGACGAATTAAGACTCGAATCATTGGGCGGAGCAGTTTATGGCATGACGATCCCTATCCCGTCTGAGTTGCTGGGGAAGATCACGGAAGGAACAAGTAACTGCGCAGAGTGTCGTGGTAATAAGTACCATTGCCAATACTTATCGGATCAACCACCAGTGAAAGCACAACTCTGTTCCACCCGTGGGAAAAGGAAGTAGTTCCTTTGCTGGAGAGATCTATGAGAACTCGGAATTCCGTTAATTGGTTTTTGAAACCTGGCTCAAACTTACATTAGAGAACAATCTTGTCAGTCTAGCAGAACTTGACTGGTCAGAGGAAAATCCTTTTTTCGAACATACTAGGTCCGCATTGCATAGATTCTACTGCTCCCGGCAGAGCAATGGGGGATTTTCGGGCATCAACCCCAATTTAACGAGTTATTTGTATGTAACATCGGACACATTAGGAAATTTGAATGAAGCGAATCATGATTTCATGTATCAGTCCATGTTATTGTATGCTCAAACGAAGTCTGGCTGGAAGGCAATGTTGTATACAACCCTCCGCCTGTTTTTGAACAGCTCAAAGACATGATATGTGTTGGACGCATAGAGAGCCACAGTTGCGTTGTCCAGGACAAGGGAAGGAGTTATCATAATTGGAGACCCGGACATCTTATTCCATTCAGAACTGTGGTATAACTCTGTTAACACATTCAATGAGTCCTCCAAGACATTAAGCAGTATGGAGGAATGGTCAAGACATTACAGTGAGTCCAATAGGGATTGGCTATCATATTTCGAGAGAAGAGGTACTTAGTGTCTTGACAGGCCTCTGAACAGTTCCGATAACTTAAAATTTTTGTTTTATTTTGTTTGGTTTTTTGAATTTTTTCTTGTTTTTTTTTTCGTTTTCTTTTCATTTTGTTTTTCATTTTTTCTGTCATTTTTCTTATTTTACTTTTGTTTTAGTCCCTATTTTTTCTTTTGTTTTTTCTTATTTTGTTTCTATATTTCTTTCTTTTTCAGTTCTTTATTTTCATTTATCATTTACTGGTAATTTAAGAGACTAATCATTTAATTTCAGGAATCCCAAAGAACAAAAAGAAAAAAGAAAAGAAATAGAGGAGCATAGAAAGAACTGAAAGAGGACAAGTGATATTAAAAAGGAAAGGAAAGAGAGTTGTAACTTATTCATGGGATCTGTTATTTAATGCTACTGGTATTTTGTTATTGTATTCATTTTTTTTAGACTATCCTTACGCTACTAATTTATTCTTCTGTTATTCTAATTATTTATTCTACTGGTATCCTTATTCTTTCTAATCCTCTACTTTACCTAACGTAAGTCCCCCAAATTCGGCGTAGTCTATGAATTCTCTTAGCTGAAGCGTCTGGGTTCGCCTCGCCTCCGGAGTGTCGCTACCGCTCGCGAAAGGCACTGTAGGGTCATTAAAGGTCACTGTAGCTCCCTGACGGGGAGCTCCCGGAGGGGCTGCAAACTGATCACCTAAGCAGACGGGAGCCAGGTATAAAAGGGGCAGTAACCAAAGTAAAGTCAGTGTCTTTAAGTTCTGTTTACAGTTCTTTTGAGTTTTCTCGTCAGTTCTACGAAGTATTGTTTGACTCATTCGTCA